TATAATGTGAATGAAAACTCTAACCCCTTCCCCCCCAAAATCTATACCCTAAATGCCCAATAGTTAACCAAAACTCAAAATTTTACAGTCGTTTGTATCTTTTATCAAAACGTTTTTGATTTTTCTTCTCCTTTTGAGTTTTTCTGAGAATATTATTCTTCTTCTTTTTTCATATATCCACCAGATCTGTGACCAAAAAAAAAAATCTACCAGATCCAATCTCAGATCGGAGACAGCAAGAATAAAATTCAGATCCAATTTTACAATTTCGAGATCTGATTTTACAATTTCGAGATCTGATTTTACAATTTTACAATTTCGAGATCTGATTCAGAGAGAAGAAACAACTTATGTGATCTTAAACATCAAATCTGATCTGATTTTTGAGAGAAGAAGAAAAAAATTATGAGTGAGAGAAAATAAAAAAGGATACAAAGTTACGAGAGAAAGAGAAAGGACAAAAAGTTATGAGAGAGAAAAAAGATAAAAAAAACTGTTATTGATTTAAAGAGAATAAGAAAAAATGACAGTTTATAATGAGGATAATCTGGGAATATGCACAAAAAAGGATGGCATGCTTGTAAAAGTTGCAAAAAGATGGTATTTTTGTAAAGTGGCATGGGACATGTGGTATTTTTTAAAAATTTTCTTTAGAATTAGAATATATTAATTGAGTAGATATTTGGTGTAAAAATCATCTGTGTTATTCAGTGAGATTTTTAAAGAACATGTCATTTAAATTAACCAATAAAAATATTTCTATTAAAACTATATGCCATGGTGACACTTCTGAAAAAAAAAAATTCTAAATGATGGCATTTTTGAAAAGTGGTATTTCTAAAAAAAATTTCTACATTTAATCTAAGTGTCATGCAAATTAATTTTTGTAAGATAAAACATGAGAGATATATACCATTTGATCTTTGTTCTTTATATTTTCTCCCTTGTATTAAAAAAATAATGAATTTTTTTTTTGAATATAATCCCGCGTTTGACGCGGATAAAAAAATCTAGTAGTTAGTGAAAAAAAAATGATATTCTCACAGAAAATCTTCCATATTAATTACCACATATTTGTTGCTTCCATATTCGTTTGATGATTATATATTGTAAATCTGATATAAATTTAGTGGGTAATTGGGCTAAAATATAGTTGGGTTCTTCTAATTATTTGCATAATGGTTCATTCATTAAGAATTTTTAATAGCTTTCCTTAAGAGTTCTTTAAAATCCTCTTACAGCTAAGATTTTTTATCTAGTGTTTTATCTATTAATATATAGAGGATACAGAGAATTACCAATGCTAAATATGAAATTAGGAATGGCCGTGATTTTTAATTGAAAAGGAATAGGTTTATTGGGTGGCTTATTGGACTATTCTATTATTTTGTTTAATGGACCATAGAGGATTGTTAGTTTTACTAATTTTCATTAAAAATCCCTTAAAACCCTCTTAGGATGACACCTAAGATTTTCATCTAGTGTCTCCTCTATTAATATATTGAAAACCCCTCAACATAGAGGATTATATATGACATAACAAAAAAGAACCCAAAAAACTCCGCAATATCTATAATTTCTTTCTAAAACACGATATCTATAATTTATCTATGAAATCTCTCAAACACTAAAATAATAAATTGACCATGATTGACAGGAACATGCAATAGTATACGTATATATAAACAAAAGACCTAGGGCACCACTATGTAAGATTTAACCTAGAAGCCCATTTATGAAAGTCATAAAATAACCGACATAAACTAAAGCCCATCATCGATCAAATTAATTATATCAATACTTATCAGCCCACAAAAAAATCGGAAAACATTTCTGAAAATCGATCTCAATATATAACAAACTTAATAACCGAAAGAACCAAACAATTATTAAGCCCATTAAGCCCATCATCAATCGCATTACTTATTCGCTAATGTAGGCCCACAACGTAGCAATGGCATATCAGCGTAATAATGTAGGGTTTTAAGGATATTTTCGGCAGATCAACTCTTAAAATCACTCTGGAGCCGCCACATAGGATTTTTAACTTCTCAATTATAAGTATAGATAGAGGA